CTTGAAAATCAGCATTTGGATCGGAAACAATTCTAATTTGCAGGTTTCTGGTGATGATACCCACCAAAGGTCCGCAGGCACCAATATGCTTCCTTTCTTTGGATCTGAGTCTCTTGGACTACCGCTGTGATGCAGCTGGCTATAAGCTTCAAGCGAGAATGGTGGATTGCTGTGTGTGGTGTAGGCATCTCACTCCTGCGGATTCCTGGCTGGCTGCAGTCTGTCGGTGTGAGAGCGGAAGGGAGATGCTGCTGCCTGCAGGCTTTTCTTCCACAGTCATTAGCGCTTCTGTTTGCCTCTCGGCTGCACCTGGACACATTCCTGTGAAAGCCAGAATCAGAATTAGACTTCGCCAGTGACCTTTGTTGTTGGGTACCTATGATGTCATACCCCTTCCCCCGCAAATGAGCATCGCTATTGAGTTTGATTAGGGGAGGGAGAGATTTCCCAGGCTATAATTGGAAGCCTGTAGGTGGGCCATAGCTTGGCCGTGCTTGGTTGAATCCCAGCTTCATCCGTAGTATTTGAGTAGATAATATTTTGTTTTCCCTTAAACCAGGCCATCTCTTGATACTTTTCCCCCAGGCGTCTTGGGCCATTGGGGTCAATAGGGTTGGCCTCCTGGATCTGTCCTTTTCGGTAGCCCAAGATGCGTAGCTCCTTGGGCACGGCACGCCTCCACATGGGGTACGTACCCCAAGTGAATAACCCACTTATAAGGCTGGAGAGAGCAAATTCGTCCCGTGCAGCTCCGTGCACGCAGCAAGTGTGACTGGCCGTTCTGCCCTTGCTCCCTTCCAGATGCAGCCTCTTAAAACGACATCTTGCCGATCGAGGCTGCAGGTGCAGGCAAGTGCACCTGCCGGCCTCGAGGTCTCTGGAGGCCCCTGTTGATGCAAACCGACGACGAGGCCAGCCAGCGCAGCTGTGGGTTGTTAAGGGCCTCAGGGAATATGCGAGCGTGCCACTGCACGGGTCACTGCAGCCAAATGGAAGCACAACCCCTGCCTCTGAAGGCTTGGGGAGTGCGGCGTGCACCTCCCGAGCTGGGCCTGGCTTCAGGGGCTGGCATTACTGGGTCCCTGCTGAACCCAGCCCCGCTGTAGGCCCACGCTGAGCGCCAGAGCCCGTGCAGGGCCTTTCTCCTCTTGCGCCCTGCACATCATCCCACAGAGCAACAAGATGGAGTGTCAGCCTCCACCGGACCACCCAGAAAGAGAAGCTGTGGCCATAGCAAGATGGGCCCATCCCGGTCAAGGTGGAGGACACCTGCCCAAGCTCCCGTCAGCTGCTGGATTCTGTACTGATGGTCATATCCAATCTGAAATCCACCCTGAGCATGTCCAGAGAGGCCTAAACCAGCTGAGCAACAAGGCAAATGCTTTTGGGAAAGAGCACAGCCATCTAGATCCTCTATACTCCTCACTAGTCAGACCTCACCTGGAATATCGTGTCCAGTTCTGGGCACCACGATTTAAGAAAGATGTAGGTAAATTAGAAAGAGTCCAGTGGAGGGCAACAAACATGATCCAGGGTTTGGAAACGCTCCCCTCTGAGAAGAGACTGAGGGAACTGAGGGAAAAGACTGAGGGAGCATGTTCAGCTTTGAGAAGAGAAGATCGAGGGGGGACATGGTACCCCTCTAGAAGTACCTCCAAGGCTGTCACAGAGAGGAAGGTCAAGATCTCTTCTTGCTGATGCCAGAGTGTAGGACACAGAAGAATCAGCTCAAGTTGCGAAAACCCAGATTCAGGCTGGGCATCAGGAAAAGCTTCCTCATTGTCAGAGCAACACGGCAGTGGGACCAGCTGCCTGGAGAGGTGGGGGGTTCTCCCACACTAGAGGCATTCAAGGCGAAACTGGACAGCCATCTGTGTGGGATGGTGTAACGTGGTGTCCTGCAACAGCAGGGGGTTGGCCCCGATGATCTTCCTGGCCCCTTCCAACCCTCCTATTCTATGATTCTATGATCTTGGAAGACTGGTTGGGATGGGCTATATGTTTCCCCTGAGTTATATGCTCCCCATGCCTGTGTGAGGGGCAGGGAGGGAGAATGAGAAAGCACATAGGCTCTTAAATTCAATAGGTCTTTCATATTCTTTCCGCCACGGCAGCGCTTGTATCTAAGGCAAATATGTGCACACTACCTATGCTTAAAACATAATTGAAAGTTAAGCCTTGGACGCAGCAGGGGTTATGCTGATTAATCAATCGCTATCATCTTACGTACATTCTGATTATCCGTCTCTGGAGCAAGTCTAAAAATAAGGCCCATGGAAAATCAGAAAGCAATCTATGGTCCATGCGGCACTTCATTCATATCTCTCCTATTGTAATAAACTTGGTTTGAAGTTTGGCCCTTCCGGGATTTTCTTCCTTTAAATTTAATCTTTTCGTCTCTTTCCCTACTGAGCTATTTCAGTCTTTTCTTATGCAAGGTTATTTTTCATGCATCATTCTGTATTGAGAAATGAAAGAAGGATTTGGTAGAAATGCTATCAGGGAAATTGGTTCTATGTAGTCTAGGATTAGATCTTTTTTAGATAAGCAATTTGTCTAGAAATGACCTGAGGTCAGACCCCAGCCTTTGAACAGTTTTAACCATCTGAGCAAACATTTTCCTGATGTGCAGAAAGCTATCAGCTTGGGCTGTGTTATTTGCTCAGGAGGCTGTCATCTAGAAGGAAGACCTACTCTGGGAAATCTTACTGCCTTCCCTAAACATTTCTAGCTTCCTTCCTAGGGTTTAGTCATGGAAAAGTGTCTGGGGAACAAGAGACCCTCCCATGCTAAGAGTAACCCTGCCCAGTTGTGCCCCCATTTTTTGTTCAAGAGTTATCCTGATCATTTAACTCCTAAAGAACTAGAATGTTTATGAACATTCCATGACAGCACAACTGTTCAGTTTGCCTAAGATGTATGTCTTTGCAAGCAGTCTTCCTAATGTAATGCATTTTTAAGACTACTCTCACCTGTAGTAATTTTTTATCTATACTGCTTTTTGAAAACAACGGGTGCTTTTCAAAGATTTCAGAACATAACAAGCTATACTCAGATAAAAAGGTGTTAAAAAGCCATAACCTTTAAAAGCCATAACCTCCATAATGATAACTTTAAAAGCTGAGTTAAAAGGATGCATATTGATCTCCTTCCTAAATGCAGAGATAGGAGGGACTTGTGCAAACTCCAAAGGGCATGCATTCCAACAAAACATATTCTTGTGCTCATTTTTTTCCCCATTATACACATTCTGTACACATTTTTAACCTGAGGACTCCATTCCAAAATTCAGAGAAGTGCCAGTTTCAAAGGGCAACCGCAGTTTGATTTGCATATTGGTTTGCAAGTGCAAAATGAAGTACTTTTGCACTAAAGTGCAAACCCAAGTAATGCCTGTTCCATCCCGCCACACAAAGAAACTAATATTATATGTGACCAAGGAATGTGTTAAAGTGACCATCAGACTTTTGCTGCTGTGGCAGAGAAGAAAACCTTTGGGGTAATGACTTCAAATCCCGTGCTGATTTTCAGTAGAACTTACGTGGGTTGTAGGGAGAACCAGAAACAGGTATAATGTTTTTGCTAGTGGTGCCTAGTCCTGCGCTCAGGTTTATTAACATCTTTTCCTGGTGTTTCTCTGGAACACCACTTTGGAATGTAATGAAAGGGTGGAGTGCGAAAAGCTTGTCTTCAGATTATTGGATTCCAAATAATCCATGAAGCTGATGTTCCAGATCAGAAGTGTTACATTTTTCAACACTTACTTTATGAGGAAAAACTATATAACTCATTTAGTAGGAATGCTCTCAATTTCCTGGTAGGTTTTATATTTTCCTTTGTCGCTGCTTCGTTTATTGCCACATTACTAATGGAAAATGCAGATCAGAATTGGACTTTGTGGATGCTGGCGTAAATGAGGAGGGTTATTACCATGGGCAACTCTTCTGCCCATGGGTGTCATGGAACCAACCATCAAAGGAGGAATTTCTGTATAAAATTTTTTGCAGAAATTTTTCTAGCAGAGGGGAGAGCCAGACTTTTTCTCTGCTAAAAAATAGGGTGCGCATCAGTATTTGACCACTGAAGATCTATGAGAGGTCAAGTGAAACACTTTTACCTTAATAACGGCCAAGCCACGCCCAAGGGGTTTGAAATCTAAATACAGTGATATCTCGTACTTCGAACTACTCTAATGTCAAACAATCCAGAGTTCGAACATTAAAGTCAAGGTAAAATTGCTCCAAAGTTCAAACGATGCTTCCATGTTCGAACTGCACGCAAAGTGAAAAAAAATGCGGTAGCAGCATTAATGCCCCTGTGGTGCGCCCAAGTTGTGTCTTACTGTGAAATGTCTCTTGCATAACGCTCGTGTGTTTGCAGTGCATGTGTTTTCCTGCGCTTTCTGTGCTTTATATATATAAAACCACTTCTCACCAAGGTGCAGTGAATGCACTAATGTAACATTTCTAACATAAATTCTAATAGTGGTGCCTTGTACTTCAAACTTAATTCATTCCAGGAGGGCATTTTTGTTGTTTAGGATCTAGGAAGGCATTTCTAATGGGGAAAATTGATTCAGAATCAAATTATTCCTAATTTAAATGACCTCTGAAAAACAAAGTATGAGGCACCACTGTATAAAAAATATCAATAGCTGATTTCAGCACCCTTTGTTGGTGGGAAGGACAGGTATGAATCAAAGACAAAGACACACAGAGAGATGACCCTGTTTGGTAGAGTAGGTTAATCAGTTAAATGTTTATTGCCATTGGTCACAAGCAGGACATGGATGCAACAGGATCCTCCCACCCATTTTCCCCAGCAAAGGACATACAGAGGCCTCTTGCCTCTGATCAGAAGATGGCAGAGAGCCATCAGGGCTAGTGGTCGTCCTGCTGTGCTAGGTGGATCAGGGTCTGAATCTGAAACACGAGACTTTCCTACGTTCCCACGGGGAAGGGACTGTCGTTCTGAAGTGGCTTGCCGCTTCTCTCTTCCAGAGCATTTGGATCAGATCGCCTTGCGGACTCCGCTTCTTTCATGTTGAAGGCACAGACGAGAAAGCCATGGATGTGAAGGAGAGGAAACCGTACCGTTCCTTGACCAGGCGCCGCGACGCCGAGCGCCGCTACACTAGCTCCTCGGCCGAGAGCGAGGACAGCAAAATACCTCAGAAGTCTTACAGCTCCAGCGAGACCCTGAAGGCTTACGATCAGGACCCCAGGCTGACCTACGGCAACCGGGTCAAAGAAATGGTTCACCAGGAGGCGGAAGAGTACTGCAGGACAGGTACGTGGTACCGGGGGGGGCGGGTTGGCTTGTATCCAGGACCTGCCTTCCCTGGGAGGAAGAGACTGCCTGGGAGAGGAGAAGGCCTGCCCTTGGATGGGTGCCTCTGCCCAGCAAGTGGGGATTTAATTTTATATATTTGTTTGTTTGTTTGTTTGTTTGTTTAAAACTTTTTTAGACCGTCCCTTACTGTGGTCTCAGGACGGTTTAACAACAAGACAAAATAGAATGAAACACAGCATTCTAAGCAAAATTTTCCAATCAACAATAAAACCCCCTATTAAAACAATCAAGTCTTAAAACATTGGGAAAATTAAAAATGGTTTTAGGCTGGCACCGAAAAGATTAAAGTGACAGCACCAGGCGAACCTGTCTGGGGAGTGCATTCCACTATCAGGCCTTCTCTTCTACCCACAGAGAAGGCCCTTCTCCAGGTAGTCATCTTCCTAAAGCCTTCAAGGAGGGCTCTTGGAAATGGGCCTCTGCCCTAGATCTTAGGGGGCAGGCAGGCGGGCACATAGGAAAGGAGACACTCCTTCAGGTAACCAGGCCCTAAGCCATTTAGGGCTTTATAGGCCACCACCAGCACCTTAAATTGGGCTTGGACTTCAACTGGTAGCCAGTGTAGGTGGTAAAGGACCGGCGTGATGTGTTCAAACCTGCCAGTCCCTGTTAACAACCTGGCAGCTCTATTCTGAGCCAATTGTGGGAATCCACACCACCCACATAACCTACAGGTTACTTCAATCAACAGGTTCTCCTGACTCAGTGTAGGCTTTTCCTAGGGCCGGAGGGTGAGGAAATCCACTTCTGGCAGAGCAGCTGACGCAGCACGATTCTTCGTGTTCAGGGCGGCTCCACAACCGTTGCATTGGCAGCACTCTCGTGACAATGGCTGTTCTCATTTTGCACTCGAAGAAACGAGACTGAGGTTTGCTTATGTATTCCTATACCACTCCACAGCCAAAGCTCTCTGGCCAGTTTACAAAGTCCATAAAACTAACAATAAAAATGCAACAACAGTATCTTAAAATCAGAAAAGCAGTTTAATATATAAACAGCTAAAGCAGACAATAGCAAAGGACGACTCTCCAAAACACCTGAATTGGGTCATCTCCGTCAGGCCCTGGCCAGCCAAGGAAGTCTGTAAAGCCTCGGAGAAGAGGGCCGTCTCAACCTGGCACCCAAAAGATAATAAATTAGAACCTGAACAGCCATCTGAGTGGGGTGGTGTAACATGGTGTCCTGCAACAGCAAGAGGTTGGCCTTGATGACCTTCATGGCCCCTTCCAGCGCTACTATTCTATGATTCTAAATTCAGTGCCAGCTGGGCCGCAGTGGGAAGGTTATTCCAGAGACATTCCAAGCTCTCCCCCTTGTGGCCACCCTCCAAACCTCCCTCAGAGTTGGCCCCAGAGGCTGTATTCAGCTGGGGCAGCACCCAAAGTATTTTGAGAAGGGTTGGGATGGGATCTGAACCTTGATTAGTGATAGGATGAAATCTGAAATGGGAAGGATTGAGACATCTGGTGTGCAGGTCCGTTTCAGATAGGATCGAAAGCCCACTGGCCATCCAGGATGCAGGACCACCCTGTAGCCCTCGCCTCAAAATGAAAGGAGGTGAGTGAGCGGTCGCAAGGCTGCCAGGAGGACCATCCGTCGAGGGTGGCCACCTGCCGTGGACCCACATCCCGGCAGAAGACACCCTCTGGGAGATTCCTCGCCACAACCCACTTGCACACTGGTCCTCCACCGCAGCCCAGGAGTGGCGCATGGGGCAGAGAGAAGGAGGAGCCAGATGGCCACGACCTGCTTGCCCTTTGGGTCCTTCGAGTTAGGCAGGCAAGGGGCAGCCATGATGAGGAAGAGGAGGCGGCCCAAGAGCAGCTGGTGCCCAGGGCAGACTCCATGAGCAAGAGGGCTGCTGAGGGGGTCTTGCCTGGGGGCTTTGAAGAGCTGAAGCCGGCACCAGACCTCAGCAAGGAAGGGCCCGATCCTGTGGCGGACAGGCTCCAAGCCACGGGAGAATTCCCAGCCCCAGAAATGCATGCTCAGGTCAGGAGCGGGGCTCTGCTTTGCAAGTGCCCCTCCCCTGCCCTCACCACTGGCATGGGAAGAGCTGAGCTGGTGTTCCCGGGAGGCAGGGAAGGGCCCCGTCGGGGCTTGGTCAGAGGTCCCGGCATCCTGGCGGCACTTTAGCCTCCTCCCCCCATGCACTCTAGGGGGCTCCCATCATTCCTCTAAAGATTTTGTGGGCAGGAGACGCATGGAGGGGACCTTCCCCTCTGTGTTTCTTGCAGCCTCCTTAGAATCATAATTTTTGTATCGTTTTGTTTAATTTCGTGGTTGTATTTGTTCCTTACTATAAGCTCTCCTGAGGTGTCAGTTGTTGGATGGGGTACAAGGTTTTGAATAAATAAAAATAATAAATAAATAAAGCGTTCCGAGCCCTTCCACCCAGGCACATTGGATCGCAAGAAATTCCACCGATGGTTATTCAAAATATTTTAGGGTGCCTGTTGCAGTACAAAAACTACTCCTGATAAAAACAATGCAGCAGTAATCTTCAGGATTAATACATAATTATAATCTGGGAAAAGGGACACCAGAATGCAGATCAGAAGACTTTGATGAGGGGGAGGTTTGCCACAAATCCTAAAGATGACATTGTGGCACAGTGACACACATTTTATTTTACGTAAAGAATTTGCATCCCTCTCTCTGGACAAAAAGTCTCCCAGAGCAGCTTCCGTTATTAAAATAAGATGATGCCTATCCACGGGCTTGCCATCTAAAAGGGCACATAACGCAAGGAAAGAGGCCTGGGGAGGGAAGAGGGAAAAGACCCAAGCAGTCTTCAGCAGCGGGGGTGGAACACCCTAGTTCCCCATGCACTGAGGGGCGTCTTGCCATTTTCCCACTGGGCCCGGAAACCCATCGTCCTGACCGGGCAGGCAGGAGTGGCGGAGAGCAGGCCCGCCCTTGGTCCCCATCACACCCCATAAATCCACCCGCTGCTGTCCAGGGCATTCCACAGACTTCCGTGGTTTGCCCCACCGCTAGCATGCTTGTGGGCCTGGTACCCCCACGTGGCTTATCCAGTTCATATGCCATTAAGCTGTGATTGACAGCCCAGAACCACCGCCAAGCCGACCCGTGCGTGGCGCCTCCGGAGTAACGCTGTCTTGTCTGCTTCATGAGTCCACCTGACTCCGCTCACAGCTGTGAGGTGGTGGACAGGGAACGGCTGCTTCTCTGTAAGCAGGCCCAGCGGTATTATCTGGATTAATTTATCACGGATCGCGGCTGGTTCTCTCAACCAGCTTGGCGGGATTGGCAGAACACGGGAGCTCCAGCTATCCCCAGCCGGTCCACGTTGTCAAGGAGCTTAATCTGTCTTAGTTAATTAAAAAGGTGTGAAGCTCACCCACAGCTTCCGTACCTTTCACGTACCAGACTGCAGCTCCCAAACGATGGCTGCTGTATATTGCATCAAGCTTTTTTTTTGGTTTCTCTCCCTGTATTCTTTCTTTAGGGCTTTAGGAACTTTCTGATAGTCTGGTGCTCTGGGGCTTCCTTGCTTTTTTCCTTCTCTCTCTCTCTCTCTCTCTCTCTCTCTCTGTCTCTCTCTTATGTACACACACACACAACCTGTGCCGTGCAGGATGCCCCTGTGTTATTGCCCAAGCCCCTACCTGCTGGAAGTGGCGTTGTGGTAAGCCAACTTTTCCACAGGCATGATCTACATAATAATATGGCATAGGAGAGTGTCAAAAGCATAGCTGCTGTCAAATGTAGACATTAAAGCCCTGCTGGTGTAAACATTGAATTATGCATATTCAGAAACTTTGAGCTGCCCCTAGAAAGGAGCTCCCCTGTGACCTTCCCTCCTCTTTCTCCATAACATAAAAGTCTGGTGTAGCATACGTTATGATGCCTTGATTCAGAGCATTTCCTTCTCTTGCACTCTGGCATGGGTGGAGGTGTGGAAAAGACGATTGCCTGGATGTAGCTGAAGGGAATGACACTTTATGGAAAATGCACAGGGTCAGGGGGAGACTTAGAAACATAGAAACTGAGCGAGTCAAAAGGGGTCTCCCGGGCCATCTAGTCTGACCCCCAGCTCCAGCCAGCTCCTCTCACGACATGCCCACCTTGTGCACGTCCAGCCTATCCTTGAACACCCGCACCGATGGGGCCTCAATCACCTCCCGTGGAAGCCCATTCCACACCCTCGGGGTCCTGACTGTCAGGAAGTGCTTCCTGGCATCCAAATGGAACCTGGGTTCCCTGAGCTTGGCTTCGTTGGAGCGCGTCCTGCCTTCCTCTGCAGGGGAGAACAGGTCTCTACCCACCTCCGTGTGACATCCCCTCACACACCTGTATGTTGCCAACAGATCCCCTCTGAGTCTCCTCCAGGCTGAAGAGACCCAGTTCCCTCAGTCTCGCATCCCCTGCAAACCGGCCACCATCCTTGTAGCCCTACGCTGCACTGACTCCAACCTGGCTGTATCCTTCCTGTAACGTGGAGCTGGATGGAGCAGCAGTGTAGTAGAACCAGAGCTCGCAAGGACGTAGCACCAGGACTTTTATTAACAGGGATGCTGAAATTTACCACCACACCACTGGGTTGGAGCCTTCCCCTACCAGCTGTTTTGGACTTCGGCTCCCTTCAGTCGGCTTGCATGGCCAGAGTTCAGGCATGCTGGGAGCTTCAGTCCAAAGCATCTGGAAGGCACCGGGTTGAAGAAGATATGTTGACTAGCCTATCCTTGAACACCCTCACCGATGGGGCCTCAGCCACCTCCCGGGGAAGCCCATTCCATGCCCTCAGGGCCCTGACTGTCAGGAGGTGCTTCCTGGCATCCAAATGGCACTTGGTGTGGTGTGGTCCTGTACTCCTTCCAGCATCAAACTGGGTGTGAGTGCCAACAAGGCCACAGCCCAAATGGTGCCACCAAGAAGCAAGGGTGGAAGTCATTCAGCCACGGAACCTTAAG